GCGGCCACCAGGACTTCTCCCGTCAGAGGGAAGAGCTGGGCCAGAGCCTGCAGGGCGTCGAGCAGAAGGTGGGTACCCCGGCTTTGGCCGGATCGGGACCCCACTCTTGCCCTCCTCGAAGAGGCCCTCGTCCTTTCCTGCCCAGACCCTGTGGCAAGAGCTGGGATCCCAGCTCCCTAGTAGCCAGGGCGGCCCCCAGACTCGCTTTGTTAATGGTCCTGGAGAGGGATGGAGCAGGCTGCGAGGAGGGCCAGACCATCGCGGGAGGGTGGGCCAAGGGCCTGTCACAGGACATTAGCGGTGACCTGTAAGGAAGCCGGCAGGCTCCACGGAGCCCATTCTTTTTGCATTAGGAACCGCTGAATGGGCAGAGTTGCCTGAAAAGGAGGTTTGAAGGGAAGCCAGCCCATTGCATCCCTGGAAGCCTTTGGTCAAGGCTTCACCTCGGGTCTGCCAGTGGGAGTCATCCGAGCCAGTTTTTTAATAGACCCAGAGCTTTGGAGGAAGGGAAAGCTAGTGAGCTTAGTCATTTGCTAAGTTCAGATAAAATGGTGTCTATCTTTAGGTCCCTTGTCCTTAGCTGGACCAGTGAGCCCATGTGGGCCTTTGAAGTAGTCCACTCCAGCTGCAGAGGAAACACAAGGCCAAAGGTATCGGGTCACACTTACGTGGTGTGTAGACTCATGTATTTTATTTTTTAGTTTGTAGAGTTAACCCTGGAGGGAGGATGGAAGGACTGACAATTTTGACTCCATTTTCCAGACCAGAATATTGAATTTAGAGACATAAAGTGAGTTGACAAAGACCCAATCTGACTGAGTTGCAGATAGTATAAGAAAGTCTGGGCCACCGTGTGACGAAGAATCCCTAGTGAGCTGTTTCAGGAACAGCTGAATCCAACTCCCAAGGCAAAAATTGCTTAGTTTCCACCCTTCCAGCCAAAGCATAGCCGGCTTTCCCTCCAGGTCCCCTCCACTCTCCACCATATCCTTGCTCAATGAAACTCAGTTGCTGGACGGAAACAAAAAATCCCGCCACTTCTGAGCCCGGAACCACTCTCTCCCTTTCCCAGCATGCTGCTTGCCCTGCCAAGTCTCTACTTCTGTTGAGGAATTTCCTCTTAAGACTGGAAGAGCAACTGGGGTGAGTCAGCCTGTGAGGAGGTACAGACCAAGGGAGGTGACTTCTCCGAGGGAATCAAGTAGGCCATTCTGCTGTGCCTCTGGAATGTCAGATCAGCATAAAACAGCCACACTGAGGAATCTATTCCCTAGCTCCTGCTTCCTCTCTTCCATCCACCCACTTGCTACTCAGTCATAATAGTTATCGAAGCCTGATAGTTGCATGGCTCTGTGTGGGTCCACGGGAGGATATGGAGGAGGAAAAAGCACAAATCAAGTGTGTAAGGTGGCACACTAAGTAGATGTGAGTGGTGGTTAACTTGTACACACTTTGGGAAGGAAGAATTTGTGAAATTTCCTTGGGTCTGTACCTGGATGGTTGGCACAGTGCAGCGATCAGGACTGTTGGGAGACGTGTTGTGAAAAGCATACAGGTAAAGGAACAATCTTGAAGGACAGAAGGTAGCTAACCTTCCCATGACAGAGTGACACTCAGGAAATGACAGGGGAAGTTGGAAGCTGAGGCCCAAATTGGGGATGTCTTGAATCCAGGTTGAAGAAATTGGGTGCTATTTAATGTGCAGTCTTTCCATCTCCCCCTTGGCTTCACTCCTTCCCTGTCGAAGCTGTATTCAAATCACTTTCCTCTTTGGGCCTCAGTTTCTCATTGTAGAAATTGAGAGAAGGGATATGGGGTTGGCCAATCAGTAAAGTGTTTGTTATGAGAGCATTAGGACTTGAATTTAGATTTCTAGGACCCACACAAAAAGCTGGGTCTTGTAGTCAGCACTCGAAATCCCATTGTTGGGGAGGTATAGACAAGAAGATAACTCTGGAGTTTACTAGCCAGCCAGTCCAGCCAAATCATTGTGCTTTCATTCCAGTAAGAGCCCGTGTGTCAAAAAAAAAAAAAAAAAAAAAAAAAAAAAAAAAAAAAAGGTGGAGAGCAGTATCAACCTCTGCCCTCACGTGTACATACACACCACACAGCACATTCACACAAACATGTACCTCAAACACCCATGCACAAGCTTTTCAGTAACCCTCAAGGCTCCAAAGCTGTTGAGGTAGTGACCACCTTTGGAAAGAGTTAATGGTGTTACTAAAATAGCTGCTATTTAATGTATCATGCATATTATCCACTTCAATATGTAGATGGTTTTACCACTGGACCACAAGAAGTCCAGGGCTTTAGCACATGTGAGCGGTTCAGCTATAGACCCTAGATAAGCCCCTGTTGCCCTGGTCCACCCCAGAGCTTCATAAAGTAGTAGCCAGAGTGGGCCAGGCTGGTAGGTGCCGCTGGAATTCGTAGGGAGTGAGTCTCTGTGCTTTCTTGTTTCTCACCTTGGCTCTGTGAAGAGGAACCAGGGCTTGCTTTTGGTGGTGGCAACCTTCTAACATCCTTTGAAATAGTTCAAGTCTTGAGATCAGATGTTCTGGGATTCTGATGCTTGGCTCCACCCCTTACATCTGTAGTTATCAGTGCATAGTAAGTGCTCTATTGACTGTCAGCCACTAGTAGCTAGCCTGCCCATCCTTACTCCAGCAAGGCTCCCTGAAGGAAGGGAAGAGGTCTAACCATTATTTTGTATCTGGCATTTTACCCATTACCTACGGCACAGTGGATATCCCACACATTCCAGAAGAACAGACATCTAATGAATATTAATTGTTATGACATTTTTGTGCATAAAGATGAACAACCTACAACACCCTCAGTATGGGAGACACTGAGTTTCTTTGGTGGTTGGTAATAGTTTCTGATTGGAATGACTTCTTAGCCATTTGTAAAGAGCCTGGGATTAAATAGGAACTAGGCCTGCCCACCCAAACCTTATCAGGCATTGCTCTGAATTCCTGCATTCTCTGGTCCATTGAGAAAACACTGAAAGTAGCCTGCCATGTTGCAGGTGCTGGGCTCACCCACTCATGCTTCTATTTTAAGTGCTATGCTTAGAACAGGAAGGCATTGTGATTTACTAACCTAGTTTTAGAGGTCACCTCTCTCTAGTGCCTTTTCACAGTAGTCTTTATGTCTCAGGTTAGATTTGGCTGGGGAGGGAAATTGTCTACTTTCTGGAGCCCCTGGGAACCCCATTCTAATCTTCCTTTAAAAATCACAGATGGATGGAGATAGAAGAGACTTGAGAGACCCCCATATTAAGAGACAATCCGTAGTCTGTATGGTTAAGATATCTTTTTTCAGATAAACACCAGCACAATGCAAGCCACAGCGTGCCAGGGGCAGCAGGGCAGGCAGGCCAGAGAGAGAGAGCTCCCATGTGCCTTGCAGCCCCTTAAAAACCTATTAGAGTCATCCTGACTTCACTTTGACCACGCCCCGACAGGCGTGGTCAGGCACACCTGTAGCCAGCCCTTAGGAGCATGGTTATGGTGTCTCCCTACATCCCCATTTGCCAACAACCTGGGGCTTGGGAAGTGGATATGATTTTGGGTTACTAGAGCTTGGTGGGCACACTCTATGGCTAGGGCATCCTGCCTGCCTGCCTGCCTGCCTGCCTGCGTCCCTGAGGTGCCGCTAGGACTCCCTGAGCTTCTGAGAAATTTAGGATAAGGCTAAACCGTGGTGAAGACAGTAGCTGCTGTGCATTGAGCATCCACGAGTTAGGCACAATTAAGCACTTGGTGTGTTTGACTCAATTAGCTCTCATGGTGACAGTCCTGTGAGTCAGGTATTATTTTGTCCCCCCTCCCCTCTAGTTGAGGAAATCAAGACACAGACAGACTATGTAACTTCAAGATCCAACAACAGTACAGTGTTAACCTAAGATTTGCCTACCCAATTTATTTATTTATGTCACTTTTTTTTGTAAGATAGTGTTTCATGTAGTCCAGGCTAGCCTCAGACTCACTGTGTAGCCTAGGATGACCTTGAACTTCTGATCTTTCTACTTCTACCTCCTGAGTGCCAAGACTATAGGCATTTGCTACCAGATCCAACTTAGTAAGTGCTTGGGCTAGAATCTAGGATCTTGTGAAGGCTAGATAAACAGTCTACCAGCTAAGCTATATGTCCAGTCCCAGTCCAGTCCTAGTCTGTGTGTGTATACACACACAACACACACACATACACACACACACACACACACACACACACACACACACACACATACACACACACACACACACACACACACACACACACACATATATTTACCTGATTTCACACTCTTGTACTGTTTTTAAATTGAGAGAACCACTCCCCCCTCAAGATTTGTTTTTATTTTGTGTGTTTGGGTGTTATGTCTGCATGTTTGTATGTGTGCATGCTTGGTGCCTGAGGAAGCCAGAAGAGGACATCAGATCCTATGGAACCAGAGCTACAGACAGGTGTGAGGTGTCATGTGATTGCTGGGAATTGAACCCAGGTCCTCTGGAAGGGCAGCCAGTGATCTTAACCACTTAGCCATCTTTCCATCCCCTGAAAACTCTTAAATTTAGTTTAGTCTAGAGCATCTGTCTTCCTACCTTTTAAGAAATACATTTAGTTGTTGACTATTAGTGACATCATTCATCCTGCAGAACCCGCCACACTGGATTTAGCTGGTAACAACATCATGGCATCATAGAGAGTCTCTTTTACATGTTCCAGAAATGGGGAGTCAGACCTAGGGACTTACAGGACCAAGGCCACACTGCTGGCAGTCTCTTCTTCTTTCCTTAAAAGTCTTTCTCCACCAAATGTCACAGGTGTCATATTATGATAATAACTAGCATTTTGATCATCACAGCCTCTCGGTGTGTTAGACCAGCTCGTTTGGAGGGCCCACACTGAACCTAGTTCATAATGGAGTTTATACAGAATGAACATGCAGCAGGTGAAGTCACAATGTGCTCACAAAAGCCAGAGTGTCCTAAGGAATCGTCAGCCTACTGCTTGTATTTTTAAATGAGGACACTCAAGTTCAGGGAGGACAGTGACTTGCCAAGGGCTACAGCTGGATGTGACAGTCATAGACCTGGACTTGGTCTCTTCACTTTGTACCTGGGGTCTCCGTGTGCCTCCAGTTCTTTCCTAAGAAAATTTGTGAAGCTCAGAGGCAAGAGCTAG